TAATATTTAAATAGTTTGGCAAATGCAAAGCCATCAAGTACAATATACCAGAACACCCACACAAAATAGTGTTTACAGTTGTGGTTGAGTTTGTAGAGCTGAGAACTGTGGCTAAAGATGTGAATCTTTTTAAAAATTTCCACTGACATCTAGGAACTTCAATTCAATTTTTTACTTAATTTAAAAGCCAAATTTTATCAACTATAATTTATACAATACCGAATATTTTCTTTTCACCCAAGAAAACCTTACTTCTGATTTTTTCATTTTCTTAAAGCTACTATTAATCGATCCCCGATTGTCTGTTATGGTGTTTGTGTTCCTTTGATTTATGCGCCTCTGCACAAACATTTTCTCATTCATATTTTTATTTTCGGCTATTTTTGCACGCAACCTAAAAGCGTCGAAACCCGAGGAGGCATGGGAGGATGATGATGACGATGGAGGGTCGCAAGACACAATTCTGGCAATAGACAGGACAGCAAGGTGGCGCCAGATTTACGGGAGACTAAATGCGAAATAGAATGGCAGGCGAAAACAAACCTCTAGCGACACCACTGTAAGCACGAGTTTGAGCCATAAATCCTGCCTAAAAAACAATAAGGATGAAGGCGAAGGCAGGCAGTCAACTATCCACATGCAATCCATGAAAGCCCCCATTAAATTCCCTTCACCTGAGCTGAGCGATTCGATTTGACGTGAATTTAGCATTTCAAGTTTGGAGGCCGAGGCCTAAACGTTTTATTTTACATTTCGTACATTACTTTTTATGACATGTATTTATTTTAATACACCCACGCCTTCGTCTCACAAAAAAAGTTGCCTACTTCTAGGCGGTGCTCATAATCGCTTAACTTTATTCCATCTGCCAAAGCGGACGGGGGGACCTTCCAATAAACGCTTCCGAACTTTGGCCAACGATGTGCGAATGATAGAGTGCGGGGTGGTGCTTTAGGTGGGGAGGAGTGGGCGGCAGCCAGGTACAGAATGTTGCCGCCTTCGCCTTCTTATTTGTTAGGAGGGAAGGACCCTTTTCGGGGGCTTTGTGCAGCGCCTCTGTTCGCTGTGCCATAAAAGTCTCGTAATCATTACGAGCCAGCCAGCTGTTTTCCCCGCCACGCGCAGCATCCGAAACAAAACAGAAACGGCTACATAAAAAAAGCAAAAAAAAGAAGAAAATATATCCGAAGGAGCAGAAGAAAAAGGAAAAGCGCGCTAAAGGAAAAAGGCGCAAAAAGGAAAATAAGGAAAAAACATTGCTGCTGCCTTTGATGGCCGAGGTTCGTTTCGTTTCGAGCGATTTTGGAGCTTAACCTTGACTCGCTTACGGCTGGCACTGAGAGAAATTACTAACAACTAAAACTATAAATTTAAAATTATATATTTCATATTAAATTACGAATTCTGTGACTTAGATTACTTTACCACATTTATGAAGTTTGAAACTTAATATGCTGATTTGTAAGCCCAATAAAAACAAATTAATAAAATAGAAATCATTGTTAAACCTTCAAAATTAGCTACAGAAGAGAAACGAAAGATAAAACTCTAGTTTATTATTTAATTACATTTTATAGCTTAAATCACGACTTTTTCTAGCAGTGTGTTGGAGCGCGCATACGCAATGTGGGCGTGGAGCGCCATCTTGACGACGCCTGTTGTCACTGGCTTGGGCGTCTAATCTTATCTGTTACTTTCGGCTGCTGCTCCTGGCCGAATGTGTGTGTGTATCTGGTGTGCGTGTGTGTGCCCCGGGTCGCCTCCTCAAAGTCATTTAAAATTGTTGTGCACATAAAATACCGGGAGCGGGACCAGGAAGGAGGCGGAGTAGGACTCCGGAGAAGCATTCCTTCCTCTGGCTTGCCTTCACAAACAGCAGAGAATTCCTTCTAATTTGGTCCACGCGACTTTTATGACTTTAGTGCGACCCTCACTTCACCATTCAATTTTACTTTCTGCCAGGGCCTTAACCAAAAAAAGAGAGAGAAAAACAGGAAGGTAGATTGGCTTTGCTTTTGTGTTTCGCCATTGATTCATATTTTTACGCAATTTTTAATGTTTATTCCTGACTCTGAGGCTGGTAAAGTACCTACAGTAAAGGCTATTTTTAGCGAGTTAAGAAACAGGTCTCCCCTATAGTGTTTTCTTGTCCTTTAAATCTCAAAGGAAAATGGTTTTTAGAGACAAGGAAAAATTACATTGACATGAGGCTTGAGCTACAGGGAAAAAGTCACAAACTAATTATAGGATTATATATCCTTAAGGTGTCATTTAATCATAATCAAAGAGAAAATACCACAAAGAGAAATTATCCTTTAGAAATATGAATAAATTATTAATTTTCTGCAGGGAAATATATGTCAATAAACATGTTAAACCCTGAGAAATGCAGAAACATAGAGAATGTGAGGCATATTTAACACCTTTACCCTAACCAACGTTTAACCAATTCAATCAATATTTTTGCCACGAGAATTTTTTCACATTTTCCTCCCATCCGTTGGCCCCATCAAAGGACTCCATGCATTCACACCACTTTACGGCTCATTAGACAGGGAGGAGCTGCTCCTGTTCCCAGGAAGGATGGCAGCTGTGTGTGTTTTCTGCGAGTGCAGCCTTTGAAATGCTTAAAAATAACAATGTGAAGGCAAACTCGAATCGCTGGGCAATTGATTAATTCGGCGTTAATAATACTTGTACCTCAGGCGAGCTACCAACGAACGCAGAGCTCGTTGCTGGTTGGGCTATTTATAGGCCCTATCTGTGGCAGCTGGAAAATGGGGAAAACGCAAAACGGAAAATGGTAAATTGGGGGAGGAACTCCTAGAAGGAGTCATCGTCGTCCACGTCCACCTGTCAGGCCATCTGACATACACACACATGAGATGATGATGTCTCAATGGAGGGCCTAGAGCTAGAGTGCCTCTGAATGGGGCATGGAAATGTATTTCCCTTACAACTCAACACTCGAGGCAGTTGTCAATTTCCGCCCCAGCCTAGAGTCCTATAGTCCTTCGTCCTGCGTCTCCATTTCCGTTTCCCCCCATCGATTCCGTGTATCTATCTGCCTGTCGGAGTGCGGAAAAGTCTTGCACGTGCAAAGCTCCTGGCAGAAAAATCAATTAACTTAAATTAATTCCACGAATCGCAACCCGGTTCCCCGTTCATCTGTATTTTTGGCTCCCCCCTCAACCCGCCTCACATGAGCTTAGCATTGTAAATTTGTTTGCCAGACTTTTGGCTAAGCTCATTGGCTGAGAGCTTTGGCTGCTGTAATACCAAATGTTCCGACAATTTAATTTGCATTTTATGCGCCAATCGATAGGCTGAAAGCGGGCGGGCGGCAGGCAGCCAGGAATTGAGGCTTGACTTTCGCATATTATGCGCCAGCTTAGGCCACATGAATTCAATTGCCACATGTGGCCTAAGGAAGTGGTAATCATTGGGGAGGGCGCCCTGCCTATGTGCCTATTGGGGGATCAAAGTCAGTCAAGGATTGCAATGAGCTTTTGTTGGGTTACAGCAAAGTGATTGCTGAAAGACAGGAAATATAGGGACAAAAGGATCTGTTTCAGAACTTTACAACTGGAGTTATATTTGTACATTGTTAAATTTAATATACTCTTTGTTAGACAATTTAGATAATTAAAAAAAAAATATATTTTGCACAGTATTCCAAACAATTTAGGTAACTAAAAAATATATATTTCGCACAGTATTCCTCTTTTAAAATGTCACTGAATTTATGGTCATAAAACACTTGTTTTATTAAAATTTATGTTCCTGCTGGATCACAGGTGTTTTGGCAGAGGTAATTATTGTTTATGACTTGAGATACATATACTTTAAAGAGTTGGTAAAAAATTCGAAGAGAATTCAAACAATAAAATATTAAAAAATTTGTATTTATATTAAAAAGAGTTTAAGTCCAGAATAATTTTATCGCTAATTATTAAACTTCATTTAAATAAATATTTTTCCCTGGCATTAAAAGCATGATAAGCCGAGATCTTTATTATAAAATTCAAATAAACCCCTTGAGTTAAGCAAACAATACATCAATACAATCAATACTCACTTCCTTGCCTAATTAAAAGCAAATTAAAGTGACTTATTACAAAATCTAAACCCAAAATAAGGACACATCTGCATTGGTAATTACTCCCTCGATTCCTGTTTAGACCGATAAATCAAACCGTCAAAGGATATGCACGCCGTAATTACCCAATCTACCCGAGGTTTCTGTCTGCTGCACATTTGCTATCCTGCAAGCCACAACGCCCATATGGACCCGTCCATTATCCATTATCGGCCATGCGTGCAATTATCACATTTTCCAAATCATTTGATGAGTGATTCACAAATACAGAAACAAAGGGGAAATACAATTGCATTTCGGACCTGCATTTGCTGCAGGTTGTTGCCACGAGAAGCCACAACAATCGCTCTGTGAATATTTTCATAATTAATTAATACACAGAGGGGGAAAGAGAGAGGGTGGGAGGGAAAACAATGTTGCGGGAGTGGCAGAATTTAATTACGAAAAAGTTTTGCTGATTTTACGTAGAATAATGTATGCAAGAACTCGAGCAATTCCTATTACTTTTCATTTATTCTGCTTCCTACCGCCGAGGCAAGACGAAAACTTTGCAACTCGTCTAAAATTGGAGGGAAATGTGCGGTCTCGGAATGGGAATCTAAGAACAAATGGATGAACTATGCTGGCATGTGTGTTTCTGTCTGAATGAAATTAAAGTTCCCGGACACGTAGGCAAACACACATCGTACACGAACACGAACACACACAGAGCAAAGGGACAGCTCGCTTTTCCACATATATTGGATACATTTTGCTCGCCCGGCGTGTGTGCGTGTGGCGCTACAAGTTGTGCATAAATAATTTGCGGCAGCTGCGCTTGATTGACTGACTGAAGGACTGACTGACTGACTGACTGAGGGACTGCCTCACTGCCTCACTGACTAAATGACTTCACCGCGTGTGCAACAAATGAAAGCCATTGATTGCCATTGCCGCGGCAACTGGCGTCGACAATCGCGGAAAAATTCCCTTCACGTCCAGTGTTTGTCTCCTTCAAGGACATATGCAGGATATGCGAGGCTTGGCAACACCAGGTGTGTGGGAGTGGCCACAGCGGAGGAGGGTGTTGGTGCGTGCGCACCTGTGCGGTTTGAGGTAAAGCCTGTCCTGCATTTTTCACACGAAGCGGCGGCGGTGTCGGAGGCGTCAATCAATTCGCAAAAGTTTAACGAACCTGTATCGAGGTGAGTGTGTGTGCTCCTTCAGTAGGTGTGTATATACGTATACGCACTTTGCCGCCATTATTAAGAAAGTATTCTCAAACAGAAAAAAAGACTTTTCTATGAAGTTTTCTGAAATTAAGCTTTTGCTGGAAAACTTTGGGAAAGCTTTTCCGGTTTTCAGCGCTTGTTAGATTCTACAATGTAGAGTCGCGCTATGTAAATTGAATTTTCTTACTAGAAGCTTACTAAACTTTGGGAATAAAATTTATTCGAGATGGAAACCGTTTCCGAAACTTACCTAAAAGAACTTTTACATGGTTTCGGAATTTCGCTATGTTTTATAAATATTATTTTCTTGGATATTATTTTTTTAATATTAAAAGAGTTCATATTGCAAATATATAACTGTTTATTTAAGGAAGTTTATACTTCTTTATAATTTTCTCTAGTTGATATTAACGCTTTTTATATATATTCTCTTTTCAGTCAGAATTTTGTATAGCCTTTTAAGGATATTAAAAATATATATTACCAAGAAAGAAAGCTAACTTTAGCCAGCCAAAGTTTGTATACCCTTGCAGGTAACAATTAAAATATATCATAACTAAGCCAAAAATGCATTAATTTCGATTCGGAAAGCAGTTTTGTGTTAGTTTTTATTAATTTAAAAAAACTGCATACCAAATTTAAAATTTTAAGAAATCAAAATGTTTGGCCATTTTTGCTAATTTTAATGATGTAACCCCTTATGAAATTTCGCAAAAATGGCCAAAAAATCGATTTCTTCCGGACATGTCTAGAAAGATTCCCCTGTTGATGCTGATCAAGAATATATATGGTTTATGGGGTCGGAAATGATTCCTTGACTTAGAAAAATATTATTTTGTATTATAAAATCTGATTTTTTATATTAAAAAACTAAATTTTTTTTAAATTAAAAATATCATAACTCGGCCAAAAGAGCATTAATTTTAAATCGGAAAACTGTTCTGTGCAAGATTTTCTACAGTTCTGCATATTCTGCAATTCTGCATACTTCATTTAAAAATAATGAAAATTCAATTTTTTATCAAAATGAAAAATTTTAATGATGTAACCCCTTATAAAATTTTGCAAAAATGGCCAAAAAATCGATTTCTTCCTGACATATCTAGAAAGATTCCCCTGTTGATGCTGATCAAGAATATATATACTTTATAGGGACGGAAACGTCTCCTTCACTGCGTTGCAAACTTCTGACTGAAATTATAATATCCTGCAAGGGTATGAAAACCCTTGGTCAAGGATCCTTTAATATATATTGAAAACCCCTGAATCTCTCTTCCTATACCCAATTCAAACTGCAACTTTAAGCTTAAACTCTGTATTTAATTACACACTCTGGTCTAGAGCTTGAGCAGCCTAATACTTATACACACTTAACCAAAAATAAAACATATGCCTTCATCACCAGCCATGCTCCTTCTGCAGGACATGCTTGTATATGGTAATAGGAACAGGATAGGGCTTTGGCACCGGGATCTTGATCTGCTTGATCACCTCCACCGGATAGGGCTTCTCAACCTCCACGGGATATGGCTTTTCCACGGTATACGGGATCTTCTTCTCGGTGATCTCGGGCACTATCTTGTACACCGGTACCTGAATCTCCTGCTGAACGGGCACGTGAACGGCATAGGGTTCCGGTATCTGCAGCCGGATCACATTGGGCACCTGCACGGCCACTGGATGGGGTATGGGCAGGGGCACCTTCTCGATCACATGGACGGGCACATGTTTCGAGATCTCCGAATAAGTGGTGGGTGTGTGATGATGATAGTGGCCATCGCCGCCGCCGCCACCACCGCCTCCTCCTCCGCTGCCACCATAACCATGACCACCATAACTGCTGGCGCCACCAAAGCCACTGCCTCCAAAGCCATGTCCATCTCCACCGCCGCCACCGCCACCGCTGAATCCCTCGCCGCTGTGCTCCGAGGCGAAAATCAGCTGAATGCTGCAAATCAATATCTGTGGGAGAGAATCAAAAGTGGGTCCTTGGTTTTTAAACTTTATTCCACTTGGCGGCACTTACGAATTTCCACATCTTGTGTACGCGGCTGCTAACCTGGCCGGATCTCGGTAAGGTAATGCGAATGGCTGCCATCTGTCCAAGGCTTTTTATAGAGGTGCCCGCAGCCCACAAAAAAAAAGTGAAAGATTTGCGAATTGGGCCTAGGACCGAGTTGATGTAACCATAACCCAGGCAGCATTGAAATAGAAAGTATATTGCGTTGCCAACTCGGCTTGGCTCGCATAATTCCCATTGTGTTGTGCGCTCACTGTGTGCTTTTCCAGGGAAACGTTATATCAACAAAATTGGGTTCAGCAGCCGGATATCAAGTGGTGCCAGGCCAAGATAGAGAGCGGTTTGCAGTGGACATGGTCCATTCCAGCTGGCCTGGCTTTAGGGTTAAGGTTGTTGCACGTACTTGAGTTCTCCAAATGCAGCTCCAGCTTCGACTTCAGCTTCAGCTGCTTCCGTCAACCATGGCCATGGCCGTTGCAGCTGCAAAAGTGATAGTCAGTGGTCAGTACTAACTACTAACTTGCAACCTTAGGCAGTCAGGCAACTTTTAATCAATTGAACGATATTGAACAGGAAGCCAAAAACTGGTCGGGCGTGTCTCTGCCTCGTTAGCTTGGGATCACCTCTTGGATTGGCAATCTCACACAGAGCTTAGGGCTAAATGCAATGGCTTTACAATGGTGATTTATTTATTTATTTTTCGCTTTTTACAAAATATGTCTTGTTGTGGTTATGCTTTATAGAAAAACTTTACATTCGGCGTGGACATAACTCAACTAGCTAACTAAACGCGGAGTACTAAGAATCTAAGCCTCACTCTCAGGCTCATCGCTCCAGTCCCAGTTGCTGAAGGTGTCCTGTGAAAGAAGATAGGAAATAGTATATTAGTATTCTTTTTTTATTTTAAATTACTCACATAATCATCCAGATCGTACTTCTCCTCCGGCAGAGATTGCGGCGAGCAGGCCATGTAGGCCACGCCCGAATTGTGGCCCGAGCACTCGCAGGTCTGGCTCTGGATAGGATTCGCACTGGAGGCAATGCGCTTGGCAAAGATGGTTGCAAACCGCTTAATGGGATACTTGCGCTCCGGCTGCAGCTTCCGGGCACTGAACACAGAACCATTCGTCTCCAAAGCCAAAGCCGTGCAGATGCCCAGGGTGCTCTTGGGTATGAAGGTGGAGTTGCGTGTCTCCAGGTCTCCCTCAGGGAAGCGTTTCGAGAAGATTAGCTTGCGGTCGAGACCGAAGAAGTGGCGTAGCTTCTTGCTTCTCTCAAAGTCGAATTCCGTGTCGGCCAGAACATGCAGGGTGATGCCCTCCTCCATCATGTACTGCTGAATGGAGGTGTAGTCGAAGCGCATGTCCTTTGCTGCACACCGGCTGCAGGAGAGCAGGATAAAGGTTTTGGACACGCCGGGGCGGAAGTTGAGCTTGGCTGCCGTGGAAATGGCCATCAGGATATCGTTGTTGGTGCCATTTCCGGTGTTGATGTGCCCAAAGTATTCCGCCAGTTGTTCCGGCTTGGAGGTGAACACATTGTGCTCGTATATCACACTCCTGGCTTTGTCGTAGGGAGCCACTCCACCAAAGGCCATCACAGCATAGCTGGGGGAAGGTATTAGGAGTATTAAGGATTAGGAGAATTTTAAGGAGTGAAGGTAACCCTTACCGATTGTTGGTCAGCTTGGCGGCCTGCAGCTGCTCTTCAACGCTTGCCACCACGGTCATTATGCTTTTGGAGGTCTTGAGATTTGCATTGCAGTCCTTGGCCTCCACCAGGAAGACCACATCGCTGCTGCGTGGGATTTGCTCGCCTGTCAGCTCCATGAATGTGCCCTCGGGAACATAAGAACCATTGGAGAGTTGGCAGCTAGGAAAAAATTAAAAGGATTAGAGATCCTGCTGTCATATCTTTAAGATACTAAAACTTACAACACACACTGCGACGGCACTCGCATGGGCACCTTCAGCACCGTACAGGCCTCGATGTAGGCCAGAGCCGCTGAGCAGGCTCCCTTGACCGCAGGATGTCCCTTGCGGATTGGCGGCGACTTCATGCCCAGGTCCAGGCACATCTCGTAGAAGGGCGTGGGATCCAGAACGGCGCTGCAGCTGGCAAGCATACCGGTGCGGAAGAAGCTGGTGCATGTGTCGCTGACCTCTTTGCTGATCTCCTGCGTCTTGGCCAGCTCTGTCTGTCGGCATTGCCTTAGGCTCCATGAGTCTGTAAACTCCTGCGTGTCGTTGGCTATCAAGCTATTGGACATTGTGTATTCATCAGAGGGTTCGTTGTTTAAGGTGCCCAGCAATCCCGCTGTCCTGGCGAAGTACCAGCCGCTGACCTCGAACCAGCAGAGATCGAACTGCACATTGCAGTGGAGGCTGAACTCGGTGTCCGAGATGATCGAGAGCACGTCTAGGTCGCGATGGATGCTCACTGCATCTAGTTTCAGGGGGAGAATGGGTTGCGGATCGCCATTGATGCTAATGTGCTGGATATTAAATGATATCAGGTGAGCAGGTAAGATATAATTATTATTTTAAAGGACCTACATCTGTGCCCAGATCAATTTCTATCAGTTGATCGTTGGCTATAAAGCTCAGCTTGCGGGTGAGTCCTTGGCCAGTCAGAGATTTGGTCTGAAAAAAATATATCTATAAATAAAATCTTGAAATTAGGAGTTTGTACTCACAGCAGGTTCCAGCAGCAGGGTAAAGTTGCGCTTGAAGAAATCATGGGCCAGGAGGTACCTGCACTGGGCATTCGGTCTTCCATTTCCAAACTCCTCAAAATTAAGGTTCAAACCCACATAGCGTTGGTCAAAGGTCATATAGTGCCGTGAGTCAATGAGCAAGGCTCGAGCTAATCAATAAAAAATTTAAAAAAAAATATATTAAAATAAGTAAACCAAGCCTGGTCATCTGAAAAACTCACAGTAGTAGGGCGGTAGCCAGGTCTTGGGGTCAAGATGGGCCCTCATATTGTACAGCTTCATGACAATCGAGGAGTTGGTTTCGGTGAAGAAACTCTGCGCCTTGGCCAGCACCTGATACTCTGGAATCTCCTCGAATTTCGGGGTCTCATTGAAGGCATGCCATGACATTGGTAGCTTCTGTTCTAGATCAATAATGCCCACTTCAGGATCAAAGATGAACTTGGTTTTGGCCTCCCTGTACATGTCAGCCGTTTCCAGGGCATTCATGGCATAATTCCGGAACTTGTTGCTCAGCATCCCGTAAACCTGATGCAGACGATGCTCCAACTGTAGCTCGTCCGCTACCCAATCGACTTTGGCCACTATTTCGTAGTACTTCTGTACCATGATCTGAACCTGTTCGATCTTCTCGAGCTCTTTTAGTTCTTCCCAGATTTCTGTTAGCACTTCGTTCAATTCAGCGCCAAAAGGCACCAGCTTGAAGTACTTCTCTTTGACGAAATTCCACGCCAGCGTCGAGTACTTCTTGATGTTGGTGATGGCATCATTGGCCTTGACGTCCCTATACAGACGCTCCGCATCCGCTGTGAAGCTGGACACCGTGTTGAAGTAGGGCGACTCAGCCAGCTCATTGGTTCGCTTGTAAATAAAGTCAAAGACTTCCTTGCTGAGATTCCAGGCAGTCGTCTCAATAAAGCTGATCATCTTGAATAGGTGCGGCTCAAACTTCTTGAGAACGCTCTTCCAGTGATTCTCCGCCAAAGTCCAGGTCTTGTGCCAAAGATTCTCGATGTACTTGATGAACTTAATATGCAGTTCCTTGACAAAGCTGTCGTACTTTCCAATACCCTTCTCCAGCAGCCCGGATATATATGAGAGGCTTTCGCCGTGGAAGAATCGGCTCACAGCATCCAGCAGATTGTTATAGGTTGTCTTGATGGTCTCGATCAGCCAGACGATGCTGTTGCGTAGGGCCTTGCCAGAATCACCCATCGCCTGCCACAGTTCCGAGAAGATCTTGGGCAGGGACTCAATGTGGTCCCTGATGGCCAGCTCGTCCAAGATAGTCAGCGTAAAGTTCACCACGTTCTTGATGTAGAAATCGTTGGCCTCGTACGATTGATTCACAAACAGGCGCAGATCGTTGAGATCCTCCTCCAAAACGCTTAGCTGTCCAATGTCATCAATAAAATCCCTGTTGTACTCCTTGGCGGTGCTCCAGACGATGCCCATTGACTCGGTGGTTTCCGTGTAGATGGACTTGATCCAGAAGTCAATGCCCTCGGAGAAGGAGCTGTAGACGGATTTTCCTAGGGACTGGACCTTCTCGCGCACATCCTGACGAATGGCTGGGCGCCAGTGGAATCTTCCTGTGATCAGGCGCGAGTGATTCATCTTAAGGTAGGAGCTCACATCGATCACGCGGATCTCCTCGTAGTTGCGCCAGATATCCAGGTAACCACTGCGTGAGTCTGGAATGTAGCCCACCATCTGCAGATTCTGGGTGGCATCTTCAGACAGGTTGAAGTCCATGCGGGCATATCGCTCAGCCAAGTCTACATACACATATCCCGAGTGGTTCGTGTCCGGAGTATCCCACAGGGTGGCGTTCAGTCCGTAAACAGGATACTGCATGGTTGGCAACAGATGCACACGCACCGTGTGGAATGGAGACTGACGCTCGTACTCCAGCTCCCGCTTAGTCACATCCAGCAGAGCCAGGAACTTGCCGTATCTTGCCGGGAACATCTCCCGCTTGTAGTGGGCCGTGGACTCTGTCTTGTAGTACGAGTTCCTGGCCGCCAATGTTCCGTTCAACTGCACATCTAGCTCGGAGGCCAAGTGCTTGCCGTAAAACTGGAATGTGTAATTGGTGTGGCCCAGTTCACTGAAGCGATCCTTCAGCTGGGCACCCAGCTCGATTAGTTGGTCGGGATTATCCGAATATTCGATAGTCAGTTGTGTCTTGAGCAGATCCTCTAATCCCCGATAGTACGTCGCCTTGCAATTGATGTCCTTCTCCAGGAGAGGATGGGCCACCGTCAATGCAAATGTGCGATGCTCGCGATCTCCGCGATGCAGTGGTTCCGCTGTCCATTGCAGATTGCTGTGAATCGTCTTTGGCTGACGGTCGTAGTCACCACCCGCCCATTGGAAGGAAAGATCCGAGTTAAAATGGTTGTCAGTCAAGGAGTACTGGCCAGAGGAGGACAGATTGCGCTTGGGATAGAAAATCTCCAAGGCAAAGCTTTGGGATTCGTTGCCAACCTTTAAGGGAAAATGGAGGGGTTTAGTGGAATGTTTCTATTAATATAATAGATTCTAAGGAAAGTATACCTTGCTAAAGTTGCCCAGTTCCAGGTTGTATCCTATCCAGGCTGTCTCCGACAATTCCAGCTTGGTGTGCTGCCTGACCACCTCGGGGCTGACATCCTCGTACTTGGTGCTCAGCACAACGGCTCGGTTTGGATGAATGGCCACCACCTTAAAGTCTTGGGCTTGGAGGGTCGTCCGCGTATGCAGTTCTCCAGTCAGATTAAAGTTCTGGGTATTCCTCAATTCAAAGACCTCAAAGTGCTTGATGTCCTGGGTGCCGGCGGGGTCGCTAGAGTCCCTGGTATTGACATAGTGTATGCCCAAGGGCTTCATATCATTCTCCAAAGTGATGTCCGTGGTCTCCTTGAAGATCGGGTGTTTCTGCTGCTCGAGTCGCTTATATTTGCCATCGAGTGCCTGCTTGTCGTTGTAGACTACTAGAATGTTACCCAAATCCTGGTTGCGTCTCTTTTGCAGGCCATACTTGATATCAGCCCGATGGCGAGTGGCCAGAGGAACTTCTATCTCCACGTTGCCATTGAGGTTGTGGTTGCCACTAGTGTCGTCGCTGTCATAGGTGCTCTTCAGTTTGAAGTACGCCGTGTCCTGCGGCCAGGCGCACCGGCAATAGCGGTAGCTCTTTCCACTGCAAAAAAAAAAGTTTGTCTTAAGATATAGGGAGAAATTATTTTAATACCAAACTCACCTCTTGGTGGTAAACTCAAAATCAGTCTTGAACCAGCTGACGTTGAGGAACGATGGCATAGTGCTGTTAAAGTTGCCATGCATGTTGCTCAGCGAGCTAAAGGACACGTCCAAGTCGGTGATACGACGACTCTGAGGATAGTCCAAGGCGCAAACCACATTATGGTACTCCGCATCCTGCTTGTCATAGTGGCCGGCCAGGGCGAAGGTGTGCTCATCCTTGAACTTGGGTGTAATCATCTTGGCGGAGAACTCGCGACGCGCTCCCTCCTTTTGGAGCAGCTCAAAATCTCCCTCCACAATGGACAGAGCCTGCAGCTGTCCCCACTCGAAGTGGGCCAGTCCGTGCAGGTCGCTGGTTTCATTGCTGAAGGAAAGTCGGGATAGCATCCTCTTCTCCGCCTCCAGAGCCTCGTAGCTGGCCTCGAGGAAGAACTTGGGCTCCATGAACTGCTTGCTGATCAGGTTTCCATCGTACCGGGCTCGTAGCTGATGACGATCCCCAACCGGCAAGGGCAGCTCGGTGAGAACCGTGAATTCAAAGTCATCCACCGACTTGAAGTGCAAACTGCCGTTTACATCGAGGTTCCACTTGGAGTCGACGCTAAGGCGGCCGCCAGTCTGCAGCTGCTGGAAGGTTTGCTTGGGATTCAAGTACTTGGCACTGGCGTGGACGATTCTGGGCTGGGCACTCGGCCGCTCCAGGTAGCTCTCCAGCACCAACTGCACGTTCTCGCCCAGGATCCAGGACCATAGGCAACTGCCGCGGCCGATGTACTGACCGATCTTGTAGCCGCCCACTATGTTGCCACCATTGCTGGTGACGCCCACGTCCGAGTGGAGGCTCACCGAATCGATGCCCAGATCCTTCCACGGCGTCTCCAAGTTTATCTCCCCCATCAACGAACCCTTGGCGGTGGGCTTTAGATTTCCATTGAAGTTGATCCGGGCAATTTCCGGCTCTGTACTCTCCACCAACACGGAGAAATCCATGGCTCCCTTGGGATCGTTGACACTGTATCCGCCCGAAATCTGACACATCTTGCCATCCTCGATGGCGCTGAAGGAGAAGCGGATTTTCTTTGGTCCTGCCTCGTGGATATTTAACTCAATAACTCCATCCCTTCCTCCGGCCTTGGGCTGCACTCTCAAAGTGGCATCTATGGGCAGGGCATCAGACATTCGAATAGCCCCGGTGATGCCATAAGTAGCCATGTTCCTATAAAGGAACCCTGAGACATCATAGCGTTCAGCATCGCGAGGATTCTTGGCAACGGTTCCGTGCATGGAGATGTTTCGGAAGTTCTTTAGCGGCGTCCACACTTCAATGTTGAAGACATCCTGCTTCTTATTGGCCCTTGTTCCATAGGTAATGCTCTTTCCATCCTGGCTTAGGAAATTCAGATCAAAGCTGAGCTGGGGAGTCTGGCCGCCAGTGGCCACAACGGAAGTGGAAGCCAGTTGCAAGGGCAGCATGGTGGTTCGGATTCTGCCATTGGCATTAACGATATAAGAGGAATCCGTGTGCCAGTCTGTTGCTATTTGAAGCTGAAAGGAGAAAGGATATAGGATGTCTTTTCAAGGCTTGTATTACTTGAAAAACTTACCTGATTAACAGTGCCATTGTCGGTGACTTCGAAGCGGATATCTATAGAGTTGTCAACGGCTGAAAAGTCCTTCTTGAAGTAGACCTGACAGGCATAGTGCGGAATCACATCCGTTTCCAAAAGAATACCCACTGAGGTCTCCAGGAAGTTGTCTTCGTTCTAAAATAATAAGGATTAATGTCATAAGAAAATATAAGAAATATTTAAAATATTTAAAATTATAAATATAAATAATTACCTCCACTGAGGCGGCCATCGAAAGATGTGTGTGCGCCGTGATCGAAGTGATGTTGCCCTTATAGGCATTATCATCCAGTTCCAGGCGTCCATGAATATCGATCTCGTGCAGAAGCTCGTAGGGTGTGATGAGCTTAAGCTGGACATCATGCGCCTTGGGTTTTACATTATCCTGCAGCTTGGTGTAGTTCAGCTCAAAGCCCAATTCCTGTATCTGATCCTTGTCGTCGTTTAGCATAAACTTAACCCGCTCGTAGAACGAATTGAAATGCAAATCGATGTGATACTCCACAATTGACTTGACCTCCTTGGCCACAGCAAATGGAGTGGACACGGTCAGCAGGTTGTGTACATTGAGGTAATCCGGATAGTGGAGACGATCCTTGAACTCCAGGTTGCCTTGCGGCAGCTGAACATGACCCACAACCAAATAGAAATCAATGATCTCCTGGATGTCCACCGTGCCCACGATGGTGGGCCAAACCAAAGTGTCCAGTTGGAAGTCGGTGAAGTACGAGAAGTACTCCTCATCCGGATCGGGCTTGTAGTCCATCTCGGCGTTCAGAGGCTTAAAGTCCGCATCGTAGAGCATCTCCAATTCTATCTTGCTGTTGCCCAGTTGGTTGATTAATTCCGACTTGGGTTTGCCATTGATCTTCACGCCGAGCTTGTAGTGCGAGAACTTGCCATGTAATTTAAATACAAACTCATCACGCTTTAGGAGCTGGGCAATGAAGCCGTTCTTCTCAAAGCCAGCCAGTGGGGTGAACACCATGTAGGAGTACTCAAAGTCCGTAAGGTTCTGCATGTGCCACACGCCCGTAAAACCCAGCGTGGCATTGTTCCACAATCCACGCATGTCCGCTCGCTCAGGATTGAACTGGGCAAATATCGCCGCCTGCTGGAAGCTCTCGATGGGCGTGGCCAGGCTCAGCTTGACATCAAAGTTCAGGAGATTCTTGATGTCCGCCAGGGCCTCCACTCCCAAGGCAGCAGTGGGAGCTCTCACCTCCGCCACTGCATGACGCTTCTTCTCGTTCAGACCAAAGCGACCGTTGATTGTGGGGAATTTCTCTAAAGGAGTGGTGATGTTAATGGTCAGCATGTTGTCCGTGAATTTCTTGACGTAGCCATCCATGGTCAGAGTGAACTCCCTGACATCGAAATTGAGAGAAGCAGCGCCACTGACTGCTCGCTGATTGCTCAACGAGAACTGGGCCACCAGGCCACCTTTCTCATAGCCCTTGAATGGACTGACCAGGTGGACCAAGCCAGAGACATTGTGATGGTGCTGATTCCGTTCAATCTCCCAACTAGAGTCCATGCTGTAGGTATTAAAAGTATCGTTGCCACTGTAGCCCAGGTACAGCTCCGTGTCCACCTTTTTTGCGTCCTGCCAGTGCACAACCTTTACATTGATCGTGGGTATGTCCTTGATGGTGCTGTTGATGCCGAAGCGCACATCGAATCTCACCAGCTGATTGTTGATGTCATAGTCGCTCTTGTAGCCCACCTGCAGCTTCTGGTCGTCCGCCCAGAAGAGCGTCGAGTTGACCAGGATGAGGTTGTCCATGTTGTAAATGCCAGCTTCAAGGCTGTTGGTGCGCCAGCCCTCGAAGGGTGTTCTCAGCTCAGCCCGCACCCAGTTGTGAAGCGTTTGGTCTGGCAGAATGCCGGCGTCGTACTCGAATTCAATCACCTCAGTGATGCTCCAGGAGGCATGAGCCTTGCCAAAATACTTGGGTCCTCCGGTGAAAGCGTTGAAGCCAAAGTTAATAGTGCGTTCTGGGTACGTGACCATCACATTGGCATCGTAATTTTTGGTCCCTGGATTATTGTACTCGGCCAACAGGCCCAACCTTTGGCTGGGATCACGGTTGGCGTCCCACTTTAGTTCCAGGGAGAGCTCCTTGCGCTTCTCTATATTCAAAAGGCCGACCTTGATGTGAACATCACGTATCCTGCGGTTTTTAAGGGGATTTAAGTTTTTTGATCTCAGTAAGCCTTGATCTTGACTTACTTGTCTATGTGCAGTTCCAGATGGAGAAGCTTGAGCTCCTCAGACAGTAGCTTGGCATTAACCCAGTAGTCGCGTTCTTTGATCTTCAAGCGTACTTCGGCATTGGAGTTGCGATTATGGGCATTCACGGTGTGGTGTATCGTTAAACCGTAGGGATCCTTGCCGTACTTGGCCTGCAGATCGTAGAATATCAGCAGCTGGTTACGGCGATAAACAATATTCAGCGAGGTGAGCTCAAACGAGGGGCTCTCCACAATCATCTTGAGATGATGCAGGGCCTGGACACGAGAGCTGCGGTCCTTGTAGTTGGCCTTAATGGAGATCGTGTGGCCAGTGAACCAAGAGCCGTTGATGAAGATCTAAAGAGATTATAAGCTAGTAATTAAGTTAAATATCTTAACGACTGTTCACTTACAATGTAATCCTTGGTGGCTTTTTCGTTTACTTTCAGGCGGGCTGTGCATGAATTAAACTCTGGCACCGTGACATTCATGTAAGCATCAATGGCAAAGAGGTTTTTACGTGGCAGATGCACTGAGAACAAACCAGTGACCTCCTTCTCCGGAGCATACTTCAGACCCACAATGACATTGTGCTCAGTTCCGTTCTTAATGCGCTCTTCATGCCTTAAACAAATTTTAAATAAATTATTTATACAGTCAAAACTCCAGGGACCTTATATTATGCATATGCTTATATTATAAAAATTTAATGGTAATGCTTATATTTAATTTTTTTTCTTTAATCATTAGATTTGAGTAAAAACAAATAAAATATTTAAAATAACATTTATTTTTGATCAAAAATATTAAATTCAACAATACCAACTGATTATGAATGATTCCTATTTTTCTTGTAACTCGCGGTTCTTTGTTAAACTTTTTACCAATATTATTTGGGAAAACTCTTAACTCACTTGACCATGATGCGGTAGTCGATTTTAGAACGAGGCAGCTTCAGTTCCAGACTTGCCCTGGTGCGTGAACCCTCCCAAATAGAGTCCTCCGAGTGGGAGCGAGCAAAGATCAGACGCAACAAGCTCGTAAAGTTGGGATCCACATAGTCGGGGGCATTGTTGTATGTGATCACGCCCTCCGTGTGTCCCTGCAGACTCAGCCAGGTTGCCTCCGAGGCAAAGTTAAGCTTGGGATAGGCCGTGGTCTGCAGCTTCATATTGCCCCGGTATTCCGTCTTGGCCTTGTCTCCACTGTCCACCAGCTTGCCGGCAAAGTTAATCTCCTCGATTTTGTTGGCTTGGAACTGTAAGAATAATTGTAATGAAAATAATTTAAATTGTAATTTAAGTTTAAAATTTAAATAAAGCCCTAGAAAAAACTCACCCTATATTTAATAGTCATATTGGTTGAGGTTGTCACCTCGCTTTGGACAATGTTGCCCTTGATCACAGCCTGCAGCTTCTTGGTCTCGAAGGAGAGGTCCACGTCATGCTGCTTAATGCCATTCTTCTCGTTCACCTTGACAGTGCCCGCCAGTCCGGTAATGTTAACCCCATTGATGGCCAGCAGCATGCGCGGATTATAAATCCAGGCGGTAAAGTCCTGCGTTCTCCGCAGCTCCATGCCCAAGTCCAGCGATCGATTGCCATTCGTGTCCAGGTAAACATCCAGTCGACGGAAATCGGGATTGCCATCGTAGCTGCATCCGGCGGAAACACGATTCGGGCCTCTTACAAAGGCCACGGAGGCGTTGAAGGCTTCGGGAACCTTGGTCACATTGGCGACCAGCACACGCGGCACTTTGGATCCCGGCGTGGTGAACACCAAGGAGAAGTTGTTGTCCAAATCCTCCTGATCCCACTTGTACTCGAACTTGTACTTCTTGGCACTCAGATCGGATTTCTTGAGGATCAGGCTAAAGTTGAGGGGACCGGCGAGCAGCAGGCTGGGATAAATCTCCGTGGCATTGCTGAGATCCGGAACACTGTAGTGGGAGCACATCTGCAGGCCGATGGCCTGATCCAGGACGGGCCACGTGCAGGTGGAATTGGCACTCCGTTTGGCAATGCCCATCTGGGGCAACTCCTCCTCCCGCTTGTGCACCAGCAACTCGGATCGCACACTGAAGATCTCGTTCTGGTCCTGGGGAAGATTGAAGGAGAAGGAGACCAGGTTGCGGCCACGCACCTTTAGGTTGGCCTCCAGCTCCGAGTTTGAGTACAGGTTGCTCTTAACTTTGATGCCGGACTGCTCCCAGAACATGTCCGTTTGCATGGTGGTGATCACATCCACGGAAACGGAGGGCTTAAACTGGCCCTGGACATTGAAGTGCCAGTCAGTGGGAGGATCCATCTCCTCCAAGTTACCGCTGATCCGCAGATCCACAGACGAAGCTCCAAAAGCGTGAATGGCCAGCGGAAGACCCACGGCCAGGGGAACTGTATAAGAAGCGTCCAGAAAAACTCGCGACTTGGTGTAGCTAAACTCCTTGCCGGAGAGCACCTTCTGGGCCTGCTGGAAGGGATTAAACTGAGCGGCGAGGGCCATCACCTCTACCATGTTCTCCACGTTGTAGTATTGCAAATCGTTGCCGAAGATGCGGAGACCGAATTGCGCCCGGGGGTTGTTGTAGTCGTACTTCAGCTTGTAGCCAAGGCTGTCCACGCTGCGATCGATTTCCTGCTTCCGGGCCGAGCTGGTATCCCGCTTGTGCCGCCTGGATCCACTCAGGGACTCCTCGTAGTCGTAGTCCTCATCCTCGTCGGTATCATCAGCGGCACCCGCAGGCTGCGCTTTCCTCTTCAACCGAAGGTTATCCAGGCCCAGGAGATTCTCGATGGTGTCATCCTCCTCGGCGCTCTCGTTGCCCAGCCAGCGATTCAGGAAAGAGAGCTTCTTGCGCAGCAGCTCGCCGCTCAGAGGACCCTTCGGTCCAAAGGCCGAGGCTGCCATTTCCTCCAATCCCTCAGCGCGTGCCGTAAACTCAAAGAAGTTCACCGACTGTCCAAATAGATCGGCGGTAAAGTTGAGACTCGCAATCCGTGGCAGATAGGAATCCGTGCCAAAGATGACATTCGCATCCGTCGTGGTTCCAAAGTTATACTCGTCGAAGAACAAGCTGTGCTCATAGTTCCTCGAGAACTTGCGGATGTCCAGCTTGAAGCGATCCGAGAGTTCGTCATTGAGGAGCAGGCCCTGGGCCTCGATGCGAACCGGAGAGTTTGACTTGGCCAGATTGGTGAGATGCGACCACACGAAAGAGCCCACCTGGTTGATCTGCTCGTGCTCCAGCACCGCCTTGATGGCGCCCACGGAAATGTAGTCCGGACACCGCATGGCCTGCAGGTAGCTGTAGATGCGCAGCTCCGAGTTCAAGGTATAGTTCGCATAGCTGTCCAGGAAGAATGTGCGGTGCCGGAGGCAGTCCACCCGTCGGAAGGCTAGGATGGCCTGCAGCCGAAGATCCACTGAGGCCTCTGCATCCCGGATTATCCATTGCAGTTGTTCGGCAAAGGCGGGGGAGATCACACCCACGTTGCCCAGACCCTTAAGTAGGACTACCATTCGCTCGCGGTTACGGCGATCGCCCTTGAAAAGGTTGTACAGGCTGAGGAACTCGGTCTCCAGCAGATTAATGACTTGCTGGACACGCATGTTCTCCTCACAGTTTTCGTGGTGCTTGCAGAAGCTATGGACCACAGCGGTGGCTCCAAGGGTATACTCCGGATCCAATTTATTCTTTGCGTATTCAAGGATTGTGTAGAAGGTCTCCAGGGTCTGCTCGTCGGGTCGTGTGATGAAGGACAGCGAGGTCATCCAGCTGTGGGCCTTCTCCTTGGGCAGCTTGCCACTGATGATTTGATCGCGCATCACCTGATAGGAGGCAGTGCTACCAATATAGGGTAGGGATTCCAGGACATGGTTTCTAAGGGATTTGAAAAAATATTTAAAAAAAAACAGCTAAAGCTTTGTGGAGTTTTATCACTCACTTTCCCTGATCACAGGTACTGGCGGAACGCTGGAGCAGCTCGGAGAGGGTCTTGTAGTCCAGGCTCTTGGAAGTCTGCAGGAAGCTAGTGAAGACATCGATAAACTCGCGCTGGATATTAGGAAAGCCAACGGCGCACATCTGCACCAGCAGCTCTCGGGCAGCCTTAATCTCGTCATGCGTGGGCTTCACCGCAGGCGTGTGATCAAAGACCAAGGTGGCTCTACGGTCCACCAGTTCGGGATCTAAGAGAGATCAGAGTTTCCGGTTTAATTTGAGTTTATTATTTTTGTCAGGTTACCTACTCTGTTCCAGGAACTCGCCAACACTGTAGGGATCCTCGCCCCTGAGAACCAAACGACTGCGACTGGTGGTCAAGGCTCCAGAGCTGGCATTGGAGAAGGGCACAAGCAGGTGAGTCTCCTCGCAGCTGATGTCCCGATAGACATTGTTGTCGATGGTCAACTAAAAAATGTTATAATAAACTAACTAAATATTTATACAAAATATATATAATACTCACATTGCAGTAACTCTCGGACTTGAGGATGGGCCAGATGGTCTTGTCATCGCGGAAGGTATACGGTGTGGTCTGCAACACCGAGTGCGTGGCATAGCGCTGTCGGCAGGAGGCAATATCCTTGGTCTTCCTGATCTTCACGAACACACTATCCGTGTCCTCCAGGAAGTACTGAACCTGACACTGGCCAGAAACATCAGTCTCTGTGGTGTTCGAATCCACATCGAAGCGCATCATTGTATTCTGGAAGGCCGACAGGATGCCCTTCTTGATATTGAGCACCCAGGGCGTTTCCTGTTCTTGAGGACAGATCTCGCTGATGAGACCGTCGTGATAGGAGAAGCGCAGCAGGTTCTTGCTGAGATCCTGCTGCAGGCCCATGCTCTTGGGATGCAGATTCTTGAAGTTATCATTGGAAACCTCCTCGCTGCCACCACCGTTATCGTAGTAATCGTACACATCACTCGTCTCTGTGACGGAGTCACTTTCGTTGCCTGAAAAAGCAGCGTCATCCACTTTATCGTAGAGCTTGGCATCGGTGATCCGCAGGTAGCCCTCGCAGGGCTTTGGGAAGAATATTTCCAGGCTGGCCTTCAGCATGAGATCCGAGCTGTTGTCGCCGGATCCGGCGAACTCGGTAAGCACACCCACCGCGTAATCGTATTTGTACTGCAGTTCGCCGTAGCTAAACTTGGGATTCTCTATTTGGCACTGCGGCCGTCCGCAGATGCGGGGGTCCTTCAGAGGATCTAAGAGGAACAGGGAAATTTTAAAATATTCAAAGGATAGCTTGGAGCTTAAACATACTCTCTCTCGCTGCCTGAGCAATGTGTGCTACGAGCAGGAGCAGCCAAAGGGCTGCCAGTGGCTTCAAAGCGCCCATCCTGGGCTCCTTCATCGTGGGGGACGATCAACGTTTCTTCAGCCGGAATGCGACTGGATTACATGTGTGTGAGAAACCTGAAGGAAAGAACAATCCATACAGCACCATTAAGCAAGGCGAAGATAATCCATTTCAACTACGACTTCATTACGGAACATCATTTCCAGCCGGCTGCCCCGGACGGCTTTCCGGCCTTTAATTAAATATATTTCGCAATTGATTGGACAAAGCGAGCGGGTAACCGAGTTAACTTAAGAACTCGCTCAGATTTGACAGGCTGACACCAGCAGAAACTCCGGGCAGGCGAATGGCAAAAGGAGCCGTAATATTTGCAAAATGATTTCTCGCTCAAGTGCGTTTTCTGGCCAAGAACAGCGCTGGTGCGATTTCCTTTGAAGCCACCGTACAGAGTCATCCGTCCATTATTATAACACATACATATTCTCCATTCCCCCGCTATCGGCGAAGCCAAATGCAAAGCCAAAGCAAATCAATTGAATTTCCACTTGATTCCACATAAAACACACAAAACCGAGAAACCCAAGGAGGAGAGTCTCAGTCTCGCTCCCGGTCCGCCGTCATTAATTCCAGCAATAAAGTGGAGGCGGGTCTGTGTGGGTGCAGGGGGCGTGGCCCGACAGCTCCGATTGATGCCAACTGTTGTTTGCATTTGCATTTGATTTTAGAGCTCCTGCAACAAACACACACAAAAAATAACACAAAAACAGAGCATAAAAAACAAAAAGAAAACACAAAAAGTGTAAACTCTTTTTGTTATGCTTCTTGCACTTTGCTGTATTGAACTTTGGAACTGCATATAAATCCTGCAGCCAGAGTTGGCAGAATTTCAAGAGAAAAACTTGGGATTATTTCTAAGAAAATCTAGTGTGCCAGGTTTCCCTTTTACTTTTGATTATAAATTGTGGGGAAATCCTTGGAAATATTTAAATATTTATATTTGACAATTTATATCATATTTAAAAAATAAAAAATTCATGATCTTTAGTATTTCATATATTTTTATGCGGTATTTTATACATTTTAAAGATTTTAAACATTTTAGATAATCAATGGAGCTATTAAAGTTAGTTTCTTTTGAATTTTTCCTATAAAAATATCAATTTTAAGGTAAGATCCCTCTAAACTATCATCTCTAAAGTGCATCCTGCTCCAGTTCCTGTGCCAGTTCCTGTCCCAGCTCCTGCCCCAGCTACTGTTCCTGTTCCTGTGGTCTGATTGCGGTTGGGGGTGCTTGCTGACAATGATTGCTGCAAGAAACAGTGAGAGCACTTAACACTTTTTTGCACTTCGACTCCTGCTCCCACTTATGCTTCTCTCCTGCTCTTGCTCCTGCTCCGGATTTGGCTAGCATTGGCGTTGTACATCAATTCGTTCCATCGAGGACTCCCCCTACTCCCTCTCGATCTGCTGTCGGAATCCTTGTGTGCGGCTGTCACAGATTGAATTGCGTTTGCTGGTGGCTCCTGGCTCCTGGCTCCCGGCTTCTCGGGTAAATAATGATTGCAAATCACGCTGCTGACGCCAATCGGGCCAAATTGCAGTTTCCTATATGTTTTATCGCAGCTTTTAGCTCTCGCTCTTTTTTTAAGTTTTTATTACTTCTCAACTGTCAGCGTTTCATTTGGAGAAAAAGATGAGCAGATTTCTCCTGCTGCTGCTGATGTGGATTTCGTTGCAATTAATGGAGCTCAGATAGTAAATGGAGAAGAAATTACAATGTTGTCGCGACTTAATGGAACTTCTTGCAGAGTCTGGAAATTTCATTTGTGATTTTGGTAAAGTTAAAGGGTTTCCTTTCAACAGTTTTTACGTTTCCATATTCATTTAAAATATTAAAGACCCTCTGTTAGGTCAAAATTGGTTTTGGCTTCGCTGCAGCTTATCAATTTTCAGTTTTCCACGCTCGATGCATTGCGATTAGCGCCCCACGAAATCTAAAAAAAAGCTGCAGGAACAATGCTAACTTGTATGCAGCTCACAGTAAGCCGGGAGCTAGTGCTCCTGCCCATCCCTGCCACTCCACAAATATTATCTCCTTGTCAGCGACGACCCCAAGACCCTCAATCTCTGTCCCATGCTCTTCAGGTCAGCTGGCAGCCTCACTGATGCACAGAGAGAAAAGCAGAGCTCCTAACGTGCAAATAAAAATAACATATAAGAGTATAGCTCTCAAATATATATTTATTAAAAGAAATTAAGAAAATGCCATTAAATACTATATAATTTGCATTTTTATTAAGTGAGCAACAGAAAAATACATTTAATAAAACAAACCCTTTTAATTTCCAGAAATAAATGCTAACTTCTATACATATTATAGGGATTATTCATATTTGATTGTCCCGAAAAACAAATTAAATATTATTTCTATATGTGTTTTCCCTTAGTTTCCATTACTCCATCCCCCTTCTTTCCTGAAAAGCAGACAAAGCTGATAAGCGATAAGCGGCTTAACTTCCGCGAGTGCTTGGAAAGGCCACCGAGGACGTGGGTCTGGATACGGAATAGGAATAGCGGTATCGGGTATGCAGAGATATATATAATTTGGCAGTGATTTGCCTGAATAATAATAATGGAAATGGGATTTGTGCGGCACGCTCTTTGACGATTTTAGCTGCACTTTCGGGCTAAGCCTTTGAGCGGTGCTATCCATATCCAGTTAGACCCCGAGACCCCGAGACCCCTAGACCCCGAGACCCCTAGACCCCAAGACCCCAAGACCCCAAGAATCAAATTCCGAAAAAAAGGCAGCATAACAGCCCAGAGTGCACATAAATTCGAATTTCCCCCATCCCCCCCTTAACTTGCACTCCCCGAGCAAACAAAACTTACGATTACTTGCCCAAAGCCGTAGGAACTCAGGAGCCATTTGTTTTCATATTTCCCCCTCACGAACTCAAAGTCTCACAGCCTCGCACCTCACACACAAACACACACACAGAGAATCCCTGGGCACCTCTCATAGAACATTTCCCAAGCAAACATTTTGGTAAAAATGCAATTTTCAAGTGAAGGTGAAGTTGCAGTTGAACAGAGAAAAGAGCACAAAGCGGGGCGCAGGGGTAACTTAGCAGATTGTTAGCGAGTGTAAGAACACCTGAAAAGTCGATTTCGGGAGAGAAAAGTGATGTGAATGCTCTTTGCTAAGCAAACAGGGATTTTAACTTTTAAATTTTAGAATATTGAAAAATAACGAAAATATATTGTGAAAATATTTGCTAGGAACTAGACAAAAGAAAAAATATTTTAACATAAAATTAGGGTCTTAAAAAAGTGATATAGTAATTTATATTTGGTATAAAGAATTTTTTCAGATGTACCCTATATTTATTCAAAATATTTTTTTTATTTTAAAACTACTTTTAACATTTAATAAAGTGGGGTATTTCCTCTTGCGAGGCACCACTGTCTCAAAAAGTAACTGGAAAATGGCAATACAACAATAAAGTTGAGAAATTTCTTGTGCAATTTATCCGTAAATTTAATAAACTTCTCATAAATATCTAACAAATATTAAAAGGCATAAATCAAGTGACTTTATTTCGATGTAAGTAATTTTTCTGAAAGTAATAAAGATTCTGTGAGATCCCCTGGAGTATGAATAAACGAATGGTTCATTGATTTGGCATCTGATACTCGGAATAACCTCTGACCCTTGTCTTGTCCTGAATTCTCCTCTTAACCTGCTGCCTGCCCCTTGGTTCAACGAAAGGAAATAAAAAGCAAAGAAATTTGCACTAACATAAATTCCGAAGTAAATGCAATTACGTTTGTTGCAACAACTTTTCGGAGAAGGGCAGGAAAAAGGAGCACCTTCCTGGATGGAGGAGTGGGAGAAGAAGGGCCAGGACATACACGCACTGCCATCCATATGTTCCGCATGAATTGCCAGGCGGAAATTCTCATCCTCATCGTCGTCGTCGCTGCTGGCATGCAAATCTAATAACAAAGTACGGAGCCAAAGAAAGAAAGTTGCGCATGCAGCGAAGGAAACATCAACTTTGAGGAGTTCCTCACTAAATTGGGGCTAGCTGAAAAAAGAAAAAAAAAAATTCAAGAAGGAGGCGCAGCTCTCCTCCATTACATGCTCCGTATTCCCATGCGTTTATTCGAAAATTTCAAGTGCGCAGCGCATGCAACAGCAGCTCCGGAAGTAGCAGCAGCGGCAACAAAAGGAACCGGAAACGATGACAACGGAAGAGCGCAGTCATTGCATAAAGGTAGAACAGTTTGTTCCCGCCTACGAAAACAGCGAACAAAAAAACACACTGAAGAGGGAGGATCAAAGGGCAATAAGCCCGTTCCGCTTCTGTTCTGACTTCTATTAGGTTTTCAACAGGCATATAAATACCCGTTGAATTCGAAATATGAAGCTTATTGTATTTCCTGGATTATTCGTAGAAGGTTAAATCCTGGTTTTCTTAGGAATTTATGTCAGAGGAAGAGTGAAAGAAGTTTGGAGCTTGTATATCAGTATTTAGTTAAAAATAAATATAATTTTGTTTATCTGCAGATATTTCACTTGTTCTCCTTATTTTTATGCCATACATAAAGCTATAAAGCCCCTTTTATATTCCTTAATAAATACCGGGTATCTAATAGTCATAACCCTCAACTATCTTCTCACTTTTGGATTTTTTTTCGCCACCTGACTGCCGTTTGAGCGCCATCAAGCCTGGCTCTATAGCGAAGGCTCCTTGTTATTGTTGGTGGCCATGTGGATCCATTTTGTTTTTTCTGCTGCTCCCCAGTTACGCCGGCTGAACTGGCCCTAATGGCCTCCAAATGGGCGCCATGTTTGTCCATTGCTCCACTCATCGTCCTCGCTCCTCTACTATTCGACGTGCATGCAATATGCAATGCATTTTTTCATGTTCGATAAAGACAATGGAGCAAAAGGAGCCAACAGGGGGAGGGCGGGAAAGGTGCGAAAAGGAGCAAAGGGAAACCGGGTGGAAATTGTTCGTGTGCTGGCTGAGAAATTGGAAAATTGAAAATTATGTGTATCACTTGAAAAATGGCTAATAAACGAGATTAAAATTGCCAGAGGCGTGATTTCCACCTGCAAACTGTGAGAACCAGCAAAGGCAGGTGAGAAAAAAGAGAGTAAAAAGGGCAGGGGGAGGAAAGAAAAGCGATTTTTACTGTGTGTTCCTGCCAATTTGTTTGCGTTAGAAAATGATTTACTAGGAAGAGGTGAACAAAGGATCAATTTAGGTGTTTCTGTAAAATCGCTTTCTCTTTAAAAGACTTGGCGCTTTGTTATTTGGTTCTTATTAATTTTTTTGAAAATATTACAGAATGGTTTAAAATAAAAGAATATATTCATATGTTTTTAAGCCTTATTGGAGATACAATCTTAAAGTAAAAAACATATTCCAAACATATTTTATATTTTAAAATAATTATTTAAGGATCTCTCTATCTAAAAACCCCCCCAACATTTTAAATAAAGTCTAAGAAGAACTCTGGGTTTATAGTTCTCAAGCCCATTTAATTCAATTTTATATTCCCTTGCCATTTTGGCCATTTACTGCCTTGAAAACTACTCAAATCAATACGCATACGCACCGTGGGACGGCGACTGCAGCTGTTAAAGCTCCTAGTCTCGCTCACTTTCAGTTGGCAAACATTTGCATAATTTGGCAATGCTCACTTAGATTTTGATGCCAGTTGCGACGGAAAAGAGAAGAAAGAACTATTATGTAAATTTGGTTTAAACGTTGAACAAAAAAATATTCCCCTGCCATTTTGGGTGACTTGCAGTCAAGTGCAGGCATTTCTCATACCCCGACTCCCCACGGCTGGAAGGTGTTGCCGAGCAGTTGGCTGTAAATAGTGCTCGTGCTTCATCCTGGCGAGCAGCCACCACCTCCATTCGCCGCCAGTTTGTCTGCCTGTTGGTTTAATGTGGCTTAAATCGTTGCCGTTTCACCACTTGCTTCCTGCCTCATTTTTATCCTGCCTTGGCTCCTGGTTCTTTTACTGTTCCCGCTCCTGTGTGGCTCTTGCTATTGTGGCTGCTGTCGTTAGGCTACTTAGTTCCCAGTGGCAGTCGTCGTCGTCGCCGCACTTTTGGTTCGTTTAATTTTTATGGCTTTGTAATTAAAAAAAATATAACCATAGTTCCCCGAGAGCCATCTGCCTAAGCTCCCTTTTAAGAGTTTCCCCGGCTGCCCTCCTTACAGGCAGGGACTCTAATTGAAAGCGGAATGCACGTGTTGCTCCCAAGCATTTTCGGTGGTGTCTAGTCATAAGCGCAGATGGGATTTATGCGGGGTCATAATGAAGCCTTAAATAAGTATTTGCAACCATATATATATGTATATATGTATATACCCTACCCAGCTAGTTTCCTCTCCAGTCTCTGCTTCGAAGTGGTTTATTTTCCTTGCTTTCGGCACAGCTTTTTCTCCCTAATCCCGTTGGCTTATCATGTCTGGAGCCCAAGACACAAGACATATGCAAGAGTTCACCTTTGGAGCAGATTGATGTCAACTGTGCTGCTTGGGGGCGACATTTTTGGAGTGACTCGGGGCTAAGTGGTGGCCAAACAACAGCAACAACAACCACAAAGAGTGGACAGATCGCTTGAGGAAATTAAAGAGAAGCCGCTTCCCCAGTGGACAGTGGGTTGTCTTCGGTAATGCACTTCCCAAGCAGCTGCATGACAGTCACGGCGACAATGGGAGCAGTGTGTCACAGGAGGAACCCTAATCCTTTCACCTGCATTGTGCGTGAGTCTGTCACTTGTGAGTGTCTTGTGTGGGTGTGTAAGTGTGCGGAATTCAGTAGGAAAACAGCAAGCATACGCCATGTGGCGCGGAAAACAATAAATGCGCCAAGGGCTCTGGAGTTCTCAGCTGAGAAGCAAATACCTTAGGAGTCCCCTTTCTGCACTTGACGTGGACTTAAACAAATGCGAATTCTCGGCGGTTGAGTGAAGGTTTAAGAACATTATAAAATTCAATAACTTGGGTTCAGAGGGATACAAATATTTTATGAAAAATTGTAGCTTTTAACAGCCCTCCTTAGGTATTTTTATCTCTACTAATATTTTAGATCTTAAATAAAAATCTATTACAATATTATATTATTATTTTTAAGTCTTTATCTACAATTGGGAATCAAACTCCAAGAAATCCGCGACATTAGACAATATTTTTCACCACTTTCGAATTCTAAACCATTCTATTTATTCCCTTAATAACCTTCTTAATATATAATACATTGAATTAAATATCAGTGGAAAACTATAAGTACAAAATTGTTTTTTAAATCACCCAAAATAAAGCAAATAAAAATAATCTCTTATTTTTGGCTTAGCTGCGGATGCGGCTCCACATTGGTGAATATTGTAGTCTGTTTCCATTCTGAAATCTCTTATCAATTACTAGTTATCAGTTTTGAACACTTGCACGTTCCATTTGGCTTTGCTGATCTATTTTTGCAGATTATTTTCTTATTCTTTTATTAGCAAAGTTGATATAAATGAGTTACTGTAACTCCACACACTGTCACAGTATTTTTTCTTAGAATAATTAATATTGGTTTAGTATTCATAAACACATTAAAATCACTTCATTAAAATCAAAAATAATTTTTTTTAAAGGTCATCATATTTAAATTGGCACGTTTTTCCTAATAATTTTGTTGATCTGTCAGCATTATCATTACATTTAAAGAGCATTTCACAACCCAGATTAATGAAGATTCGAGAGATTCTTCTAGGCTCTCTCCCGTTGCTTATCACTTCACACACTTTATTTATAAAGCCCCGACATCGGTTGAATGGCTACGACTACGACCCCTCCCGTTCGGGGCTGAACTCTTGACCCGATCTTATCGGGGTTCCAGACTGATTCCTAATTCGAATCCACATATTTAACACGTAGGCGATGTTAATGAACAACGAACGATTTCAACGGCTTTGAAGCGACATGTGGCGCACGGGTTTTACACAGTTTGAGGTTATTTAAGGAAGTTTTTTTGCAGCCATTAGGTGGTTTTCAGCGTAATTAGCACTCTTTCCGGCTCCACTCTTTGGCACCCACAAAAAACGGCGGCCATTAATGAGCGGCAGGCTCACTTCCGGTACGTTAGGCACCCAAAACGCGTTCACACACACCATGGAATTAAATGCGACGGCGCAACGTCGGTACAGCGGCAGCCAAAATGACGGCCAAGCCAGAAAAACAGTGAATTTATCCTTACTTCCGGTTCGAACGCGCCGCCAAAAACCTCAACAGGCTTGAACTTTCTCTCTCTCGGTTTCGTTTCCGCTTCCGTTCTGCCGTGCTCTTAACTCCGCTCGAGCTCTGAGGATGCGTCCGTTGCCTACGAAGCGGCAAACACGAATGTGCTGTTGAATTCTGGCGCTGCTGCTGCTTCTATTCTTGATGCCTGATGCTGCCAAGCCGCCGCTCGTTTTCCGCTCGGTCGTTCGCAGGCTCTCGTGCTGCGCCGACTATCGGCAGAGCACACACACAGAGATACGCAGTGGATGCACTTAAAAAAAAGGTAGTTTACTCTACCTATATCAGATTATCTATATATATATATATATAAACAAAGCTATATTGATATAATACCGATATTAGATGACGATAGACGAATCGATATGCCAAAGAACTAATTAGTCTTAGATGAAACTAGTATTATTTAAAATAAATAAGTAAAAATATAAACATAAAAAAGTATTTAGAAAGAAATATAAATTGATAATATTAATATATTCAAATAAAACATATGTATATTTTTCAATATTCCTATTTTTAATAAGTCAAAATATAACACATTTTCTACACTTGATATTATTAGTATTTCCTCTCAAAATACATCATTAATATAACCACCTTTAATAAAACATTTTTCCCAAAATTTTACTTATTTTAATTTTTAATTTTCCCCTTTTCCACAGTGTCCGGTGTCAGGCCTTTCAGCAGATAACGTTAGAGGCTCGCTGTGTCTTTTTGCGCTGAACATCTTCTCGATTTTCCAAATGCGTAGTGAATGAATGCTGGGATCTGTATATGAATCTGAATCTGTAGCCGGGAGCTGGGAGCTGGGGAGCTGTAACTGGGTGCTGGGGCCAGAAGCCGAGGCATGAATGAAATCGCCGCGCGTATATCACACGCATGCCAGCACAATCAAAGTCACCGCTGCAGTCCGTTCCCTAATGGCTGTCATCTCGTGTTATCAGAGCCGGGGACTGGCCGAAAAGGACCCCCGCTGACACGTTGTCTCCCACACAGATAGATATGTCCATGACCACGCCATATTTCAAAGGATTTCCAGGAAGGGCAGTCTGAGTTCTGGGTAAAATAATAATATTAAAGGGAATTTTAGTGTGGACCAATTTATTTACAGGGCATCAGGACTTCGGCAAGGCTGTCAGCAGAATTTCCGTTTTTGTTTTGATTTGATTTCGATTTCATGCCGCCCCGTCGCTGTTAAAGTTGCTCCCGCTGATGTTTTGCTTATCAGTTTGGACTTTATATTATTTATTCCACAGTGTCTCTTGTATCTCCCCCCGCTGGGCGACGCGTATTTATTTTGTAGTAAAATCAACAGCCAAGCGAAACCATAGAGAGAGAGGCCAATTCGGCAGAGGACCCAGTCCCGCTCCTAGTCCCATTCCCAGTTGCCCTTCGTGCGATTGTGGCTGATTGATTGCACGCCGGGCAGAGATAGCAGAACCGCGCAGACGAAGCTGATAACGAGGGGTTATGGATTGCCGGACGGAAGATCAGCGGCAAACAGTTTAAAGTTCCCAAAGGTAATACTTCTATAGACATAAGGAAGTAGTAAGGAGTAGTAGTATACCTGGATATGCTGATATACTTTTGTGCAAATACCTGGAAATTTGTGTACGTAAGGCCAAGGTTGATTTTTTCCAATATCTAGAACCGATAAGGTTTCCCTTCCTTACTTTTTGGTTGACTGCCTTCTTTTTTTATTTCGAGATTTTTCCGTTCAATGTTCAATGGCCATCAAATGCTTGTCATGCTAAAAATGAAAGTGAAAACCTAGAGATGAAAATGTTGATGTTTTCCAAGAGGGAAACACTCGCCAGAGACCCGTCGTGGCATCTGTTGTTGTCTAGTTTGGGTGCGTTTTTGGGTCTCGGTCTCCAGGCTGCGCCATGCTGGCAACAAAAAAATAGACACCAATATGCCAGGAATTTAATTTTCCAATGAAATATGAAAAAAAAAAAATGTTATGAGCATTTCAGGAGGGGCCAGAGGAGGGGAATCAAAACAAATTAATGCAAAATTTCTAACCAAAACCCGGAGCAGCAAAGAAGCAGGCCGGAGTTGTCCAATTGCCAGAACAAATTCAAAATAGAAATGCTTGCAGTAGCTCTTGAACCATTTATCGTTTATTTTCATTTATTTGAGGGCTATGCAAATCAAAGGGAGGGTGAGGGCAGGGGGAAATAAAGAAAACTTTTTGAAATTATCAACCTGGGAAAACTCTCGTTTCCAGGTGTCGGAATTGTATCCGTCTCTCCCGGGGGCCTTCGCCCCGGCGAGTCAATAAAATAAGTGCTCCGGCGCTGTCTGTTGCACATTTTATGCATATGAGTGGTAAATACTTGAGCGGAAATCTCGCCAGTGTCTTGTAAAGTTGCGAAAACTTATTCCATACCCTCACTCTTCATCCCCTCTGGCATCTAGGAGTGCTTCGCTTGGAAACTTGAATTTAGTTAGAGATTTTCCTGGCTGCACTTCTCGATGTTTCTTCGATTGCGTGCAGCATGCGGCATAAATGATAAATAACAACATTTGCAAAAAACTTTCGTTTGACTTTGGGCTCTTCGAAGGTCTTAAGGTTTACCATTAAAAATGCATCCCCTTCAGGGATCTCTCATTTAGCAAATGTAAAATGGAAACAATGGATAATAATCTTCAATCTCTGAATTTTTCGGCAATTTCAATTGTAATCAAAAGTCTTATTTCGCCAACTAATTCTGCAAGCATTTTCTCACAATTTTTGACATTTCCCATTTGCGGTTTCAGCTTGGCAATAATTAAAACCCCCGCCTCTTCTACTGGGAGAAGGGGAAAAACTATTTATCTAGCCAACAAAAAAGGAGTTAAAATAGCTTTGGGAGCAAACTCCAAGGCAGTTCGTCGTCGTCGTCGTCGTCTGCTGTCATAATGAAACCGAAACACACAGAAACAACGCCACGGACAAAAATTACAAACAATTTAAGCAACTGTAAAAAGAGGAGTTAAAACAAAAATAAGCAGCAGGAAACGAAGCAAATTAAAACTGAGTTTTTTGGCATACAAAATAGTAAATGCCCTGTGGTTTTTGTGTAAAATAATAGTACTTAATTTGATTTTAAAAATAAATAATTTAGTCATCATTTAAATTAAGTTTTGATCTATCGTTTGTTTGACTCTCTTTGAAATTGAATATTATCCTCTTGAAAGGATTATTTAAAATTATCCCCAGAGCTAAAAAAAATAGAGAGCTAAAAAATGTATAAATAAATAGGAACCGCTTAACTTTATGCTTTTTAATTTCTTTTGGAACTCAAAAACTCCCCTTGAAAGGGTATAAAAATAAACCCACTAAATAAATAACGTGAGCATAAACGCATGAGAGGGGCAGGGGTAGCCTGGGGACTCTGGGGTGCCGGGTGAGGAATGTGAAAAAAATGTTGCTCAAAAAGTTGTGAAAAATTGCAGCACTTGCAATGAAAGAAGGAAAGTTTTAAGCGCCCAGCGAAAGGATTTGGCTCAACAGAGCAGCGGAAAAGGGAGCCTGACGAGACGAGGACATGGGGATCTTCGGGGCGAGATGGCTAAATAATGGAGTACCGAGAAAATAATAAACTCATAAATAGTATGACAAGCGTGTGTGTGGATGTGAGGACAAAAGCTGAGAGCAAAGGACGAGGACAAATTGCCCCGGCAGCAAATCCCCGTCGAGGAGGCAGGACTGATGAAAGATTTACTATCAGGAAGTGGATGTGGCTCGGCCACTCTCTCCGGGCGGAGTTTAATCAGCGCGGACAGGGTAAGGGTAAATTGCTGCCGGAACTCCACTGCAGACATTGTTTTAATTTGCAATCTCCGCCCGCGTCGCTTTAGCCTCTCCCTTTGGCTGCAAATGTCAAACTTTCATAGAAACCAGTTGCAGTTTGATTCAGCGCCGCTGCTTTGCTTATTTTGATTCTGTTCTCCTTTATTTTATTTTATTTTGCTTTGATTTTATTTCAGACCAAGCTTGTTTATTTCTCTGTAAGAAACTAGGGGCAGTTTCCGGACCGGAGTCACCCTGGCAGTGACTCCGGAACTTTTTGTGCGGCGGCTTTCTTTCTTGCGGTTGGCTTGTCTTTTCTTATAGTTTTTGACAATCGCCGAAACTTTTGAAACTCGGAACGTGTTGCTCTTGGCCCCCGAAAGTTTTTTAATGAATGTGTAGCGAAAATGTATAGGTATAATTTTTCCAGTTTGGCATTTCAATTAAAAGTACATAAAGTTTAAAAGGTCGCTAATTATGGATGAACAGAAGGGCTTTTTTAAATATTTATTTTTTCAAATGGTTCAGCTAGGAAGAAAAGTAAGATTTATATAACATGTTATATACTTCTCTTATTAAATTAGGCTTATATTAACATACGTAAAATTAAATGGATATGTGTAAAGCTTTTAGAATAATTAAGAAAATAATAAAGATAAATGGCTTATGATTAAATTACTTCAGAGATGGTGTTAAATAATATTAAATGTACCAGGAATTTTTATTTTATTCAATTCTGCATTTTGTAAGCTCACAAAAACCAAATCAAATAAATTGCACCCGGAAATGCAATTTAAATTTGATGAAAGGCTGTTATCAGCAGAAAACTATTTGCAGAAAATGGAATCAAAGTATTTTTTCCGACAGAACCTAACGTTCAGGGGGTGAATATTTTTAAGCCGAAGTCTGGGGAGAACATTTTGCTTGCGAAAATATCCTGTGCAAACCGCTTTCCACTTACACAATATAGTATCTTGCCCTGGGCAACATATGCAAGCTTATTTAAATATTTGTCCTGATGAGCGTCGTGACATGTGCTCCCAGGTTCAATAATCTCACACGAATGGGGAGTACGGACATGGGTTTGAGGGCATCGGGCCAAATATTCAATTACTGGGCCCAACTACTACTCGCCAGGAATTGTTATTGATTCTCCTCGAAGCCGGAACCATTGGAAACAATTGCAAATACACTTGCCCAGGGACAGTTGCCGTCCATTTATGTCCAATACGTGGGCCATAAATACAAACTATACCCGCATTGTCACTGGCTGGATATTACACTAACGAAAAATGAGGGAAATAAATA